TAATTTTTAGTGTTTTTGCAAGTCACCCATGTTTACCAAGTCTACATTTATTTGATCAAAATACAGTAAAAACAGCTATATTGTGAAATATGATTACAGTTACAACTGTCTTTTATTTTAATATAGTTTTAAAGCAGCCATTACTCCAGTCTTCAGTGTCACATGATCCTTCAGAAATCATTGTAATATGCTGATTTGGTGCTCAAGAAACATTTCTTCTCATTATCAGTGTATGTTAAAAACATTTGTGCTGCTTATTTTTTTCAGTATTCTTGAAGAGATGAATAGAAAGTTCAACATAACAGCATTTATTTGAAATAGAAATCTTTTGTAACATTATAGATGTCTTTACGGTCACTTTTGATCAATTTAATGCATCCTTGCTGAATAAAAGTATTCATCAATAAAAATATATATTTAAAAAAGTTAAAAATAAAACTACCTTAAAAAACTATAATGTATATACTATACGATAATGAAAACTGTAATGTATCTGTAATAATAATTGTTTTTTTTTCTGGGCTGTACTGCCCTCTGCTGGCTAGAATTTTAATCTGATAAATAGCATTGCGTAATATTTCAAACAACTGTGAAATCTCAACACATTTGTGGTAAAGCACATGATCAAGGCTTTAATGTTTGTGTTGTTATTGTTCTGTTTGTGTCTATAGCTCAGATTGAGGTGATCCCATGTAAGATCTGTGGAGATAAGTCATCAGGGGTTCATTATGGAGTTATCACTTGTGAGGGCTGCAAGGTAAGAAAAAGGGAAAAAAATACTTCACTAATGTCAAATAGTCATAATTTAGGCTGTATGTAAGGGATTCACAAACAGGATGCCCTGCTTCCTTAGCACATCACACGTAATTGTTCTAAACCCCATCTGCCTCTCTCTCTCTTTCCCAAAAGGGCTTCTTTCGCAGAAGTCAGTCCTCCAGCGTGCAGTACTCGTGCTCCAGACAGAGCAACTGCCCCATTGACCGTGCCAGCCGTAACCGCTGCCAGAGCTCCCGCCTCAAAACTCCAAATAAAGTTTAATTATAATTTTAATGTCAGTAATTCTCAAGCAGTATATATGTTACTAGATTTAAACTATACTTAGTATGAAATAAATGTATTTTAAATATATTCACGTTCATATGTGTCTGTGTGCACAGCACAACAGTAGAGCTACACTTCATTCATACCTCTCTCTTTCCTTCTCTCCTTCTGTTCATTAGATTAGGATTTCTTAATGTGGCTTTCAGGGATTATCTTTAGTCTGTTACAAAACCAGTGTGTGTTTGTGTTTCAGCAGGTTTGTGTATTTATACTTCTGTGTATTTGTGGTTGTACGGTTGTATACAGTGAGTGTGTATTTAACAGCAAATACACATAAGGACATCTATTACAAAAAAAAAAAACAGTCATCCAGTGTTTCATTTGTTCATTTTAATTAGTCTACTTATCCATCACTAAATACCTGTTTTGGAAAATGTACTACTTTTCTCTGACCATTTTAACATCTGAAAGCATTTTTTTTCCGTTGGTATGTCTGTGTTTTAATTGAATGTAATTATTCATAAATGGTTCAGTTTATTTTGGGTTAAGCAGAAATGTGTAATCTTTATACTTTTTAAAAATGTGTATATAATATCGTATATATATATTATTGTTCTGTTTGTGTCTATAGCTCAGATTGAGGTGATCCCATGTAAGATCTGTGGAGATAAGTCATCAGGGGTTCATTATGGAGTTATCACTTGTGAGGGCTGCAAGGTAAGAAAAAGGGAAAAAAATACTTCACTAATGTCAAATAGTCATAATTTAGGCTGTATGTAAGGGATTCACAAACAGGATGCCCTGCTTCCTTAGCACATCACACGTAATTGTTCTAAACCCCATCTGCCTCTCTCTCTCTTTCCCAAAAGGGCTTCTTTCGCAGAAGTCAGTCCTCCAGCGTGCAGTACTCGTGCTCCAGACAGAGCAACTGCCCCATTGACCGTGCCAGCCGTAACCGCTGCCAGAGCTGCCGCCTCAAAAAATGTGTCGCTCAGGGAATGAGCCGCGACGGTAAGAAGGATGGATGGATGGATGATTTTTTGGAAAGCACAATTGTGATACTCAGTTTGTGCGTTAAAGCAGCATTTAATTAAATAAAAATTTTATGCAGCCTCATAACTGTAGTAATGTTTTCTCGTCTCCCTCAGCGGTGAAGTTTGGTCGTATGTCTAAGCGTCAGAGAGACTCGCTATTTGCAGAAGTCGAGAGACATCGGCAGCAGCAGCGTCTTCAGGCCAACTCAGTCCAAGAGCCCCAGCCTCTCCCAGCCTACCGTACTGGCAAAGAGCCCAGAGAACAGTCACCACATCTCATCCCACCTCTACCTCCAGCTTTCCCTTACTCTGTAGAGCCTGAACTGCAAGGCTGCCCTCCAGAGGTGCATCCATACCTGGAGTGTCGCATAGGCGAGGCCCAGGCTCATAGTCTGGCCTACAGGGGCTCCCACAGGAGAGGTGAGAGCAACAGCTTATCAGCTGGGAGAGGTGAGAAATTCAACACTGAAGGAAGTACTTTTCATCGTGTAGATAAATCTTATACGATATTGTGGTTTATAGTTTTCTCTTTCTCTCTTTCAGGATTTGACTCTACAAGGTCTACACCAGAGGCTATTCTGAACATGAGCGGCAGTGAAATGGGGTTTCGTCCTTTTGACCCTGAGAGCTCGTTCTTTTCTTACCCAACATCTCTGCACATAGGTGAGAACCACAAGCAGTTTAAAGATTCATGTGTGCTATGTGGTGTTATAAAGTGGATTAATGTGATCACACCTTTAGGAGTTGAACTGTTGTGGTGGTGTTGTAGTAGTGTTGTGGTTTTGCTTTTGGATTAACATGTATCCCTTTGTGCGTGTGTCTTTTTTTTTTGACAGAGGAGCTCTCTGCAAGTATCGTACGTTCTCACAGAGAGACGACTCAGTATCGGCCGGAGGAGCTGCAGGCTCTCAGATGGAAGGTTTTTAGCAGGGAGGAGATCCACGCTTACCAGAGCAAAGTACATCTCCTCTACTCTTATGTAACTAGCACAGATATAACTGATGACCATGTGAAACAGAGGCATTAGTCACACATTCCTCTTTGTGATTTAATTAATTAAACATCTCAATTGTGAGATGTAAAGTCACAGAAATAATTGCAATTATGAGAAATACATTTCTAAGTGCAAAATAATTTCACAGTTTAGAAAAAGTTTTTTAACTTTTATCTTTTTTTTAATTTTTTTTAAATTGTAAAGGCTCTGATATACTTCAAGCTAAATCGAATTAATAAGTGTGATATCAAGCAAAACAGCTTGCCAGTGCAAACTTTCTGGAAAACTTAAAGCTGACTGTCAAACACCTTCGAACGGCCATTGGTCCATAACAATTAGATTCTATTTTTTTCACTTGTGATGTAATTTCGAACAAAATCTGGTCAAACAAAGTGTTCAAGGTTCTTTTTGGTTGATCGAAACAAGTCGTCAGCGCAAATTTTGTGGAAAACTTCAATCTGACTGTTAAACACATTTAAACTGCCATTGGTCTATTATGATGATTTTATTGTCTTATAGTGCATTGTCTTTTCGAAAAAGAAAAAAAAAATCTTGACAAACAAAGTGACAAATCTTGACAAACAAAAAAACATGGAGTGCCGAATTGCAGAACTGATGAAAACATATCCACATCTGTATGGTCTCTCACATACAGCCTTTAAAGATGGTCCGGAATTCCTGTAAATTCCTGCTATTTTATTATGTGTTTATTGTTTTATTTAGAGAATCACATGCATCACATTTAAATATTAATACCAGTATTTCAGAATGTTTGCAAACTTTTGAATTGTATTGTATGGTTATCTGAATATATAGTAGAAACATTCTCTCCACTCAGTCGGTCTCAGGTTTCTCTCCCTTCTCACTTTCTTTATCTCTCTCTTCCTCTCTCTGTAGTCGGTGGATGAGATGTGGCAGCACTGTGCAGTGCGGTTGACCGATGCTGTTCAGTATGTGGTGGAATTTGCTAAACGTATCCCAGGATTCCGTCAGCTTTGTCAGAATGATCAAATTGCTCTCCTCAAGAGTGGTGAGATATAGCTATCCATACAACATACTAGTTTATCAATTAACGGCTGGTAAGGTTTATAACTCCATTCTCATCTCTCTCTGTCCTGTTTCTATCTCTCAAAAACCTGTCACTTCTCTGGCTTTGTCTTCTCCTCTTCCATCCTCATTTCTCTTTCTATGATTCTTGGTATGTTGCTCTCTCCTTTCTGCCTTTTTCTGTGTGTGCCTTTCTGTCTTATTAGGGTCCATGGAAGTGGTTCTGGTTCGGATGAGTCGGATGTTTAACACAGAAAACAACACAGTATTTTTTGACTGCAAATTTGCAGGAACAGAACTTTTCAAATCCCTCGGTGAGTTAAAGGGATATTTTGGTTTACAGCGATCTCCCCATAGACTTCCAGTGTAAGAGCATTTTTGTCAGCATATTTTTAAAAACTTGTTTACTACATTTGTATGTAAATTGCACTTAAATTAAAATGTAGTTACATTTATACAGTATATGTAGTTTACATTTATATTAAATGTAACTAGCATAACTTCAAAGTACTGATTTTTGAGTAGGAATTAAGTACTTCTTTATGTGTAATTTCATAATTATTTTTTCTTTGAAATGTGGTTAAAGTATACTGCCGAATGTACTAAAAAAGATTTATAGTAAACTAAAATATACTTTAATGTCATTTCTATTGAAACTTGTATGTCATGTATTTAAATATATTTTTTAAATATGAATACATTTGAAATATATTAACTTTAACTTTAAAACCCTTTGGTAAATTAGTCACAAATCAAAATAAGTGAACTTTTTTAAAGCACAGCTAAAGATAATTAAAAATGTAAGTAAATTGTTTAATTTGAAATTATTACAAAGTGCACTTTTTAAAAGTGTAGTAAAGTGTCTTAAGAAACAGTCATGAAAGTGTACATTATTTAAAGGGGTCATATGATGCGATTTCAAGTTTTCCTTTCTCTTTGGAGTGTTACAAGCTGATTGTGCATAGATAAGATCCCTGAAGTTGCAAAGACTAAAGTCACAAACCCAAAGAGATATTCTTTATCAAAGTTAAGACTCTGCCACACCCCCCTAAAACGGCTCGTTCTAACACGCCCCCACATATCTACCTCACTATGTGGAAATATTTGCATAATGCGCCCAAATGTGCATGCAAAGAAAGAAGGCGTGGTTTCAGTAACCGCAGTTAGTGTTGATGCAGCCATGTCAGGGAATCTTTAAAAAAGCATCATATGACCCCTTTAAGTACACTTAAGTGGCCTTTTATTCCATTAATATTATATGCAAGTACACAGGAATAATTACTCACTGACATTATGATTTATTATCAGTCATTACCCTCCAAAGGTTAATGGCAATGTAGTTCAAACTGTTTTTGTATGTTTGGGTTTGTTCTTCAGCATGCGGTGATCTAATAGCTGCTCTATTTGACTTTGCTCACAATCTGTGTGCGCTGAGACTGACTGAACAGCAGATAGCAGTGTTCACTGCGCTGGTCCTCCTCAATGCAGGTGAGCGCAGCAAAACCACATTACAGCAGAAACCCTGACATCAAGGTAGAATGGGCTTAATCTCTCCATCTTTCTCTACATTTTGAGTAGATCGACCGTGTCTGGAAGACAGAGAACGAGTGCAGAGAGTAAGGAGAGATGTGGAGCTTGCCCTAAGTCACATTCTGCACAGAGACAATCAGGAGAGTCTACTGCATAAGGTAAAAGATTTTAAAAAGGATTTTAATACAGAAAGTAAGGAATTGTATTGGCTTGAATTATTTTTTAACGGGTAATGTTGTGTTTTTGGGTGTTTCCAGCTGTATCAAAGAGTCCCGGTGCTGAAGTCTCTGTGTGCACTGCATATTGAGAAACTGCGATGGTTCCGGCAGCTTTACCCTCTCACGGTGCATTCCCTCTTCCCTCCGCTATACAAAGAGCTGTTCGTCTCTGACACAGATATACAGACACTGACTACTCATTGAACACACACACACAGACACATTTTATTTGCAGATGCAGAAATGAAATGACATCGCACACAATACACAAACACACCCACAGTTACATATAGTGTAAGCGGTCTAGATCTAAATATATTATCTACCTGCTGAAGAATTTAAATATATTTTTGTAACTCTCAGAAGAACAGAAAATAATATTAACAGAACTATGCAGTATTTTGTGCAAATTCTATTCTGTAGGCCAAAAGCAAAATATTACTACAAATGCTATTCAGTATTCTTAAGCTTGTTTTTGTCTGAGGATGTATTTTAATGTTTTTGAAGTTTTCAATGATCCTAGCTGATATAAAGAGCTTTAGCTCTGATCATTATTATGTGATTTATAGAGCTGATCAGTTTTGATACCAGCAAACAGCAGATCGTTAAAAAAGGAACTGGTATTTTTGAACTAACGGCATCAGTTAGCAACTGGGGATTTTCAAGCTTCATTTACAACATTAGAGTCTCCTTCTGTCCTCCCTCTTGATTTCTCAGGCGGTACAGAGACATGAATGCTTAATGATTTCTGCTACTTATAGCCTATTACATTATTGCATTAATTTAAATATGATCGTCTATTTTGACACCTTTTGTGTCAGCCTTTTTTTTGTACTCCCCTCCCGTTAAAGCTTGTCTTGGCACTTATAATGCTTATCTTTCATTCTTTTCACATGGATTTGAAAAGAACCTGTTGCTTCACAATGGATTGTGTTCTTGAAATCATCATTCCCTTCAAACAGACCATCTTAAGATGTGTTTTTGGATTTTTCTCTGTTTTCTTGGATTCACTCACTCAAATAATTATCAAACTTGCAGATTTGACTGTTTATGCTCAAGGTTCTAAAAAAATTATAGAATACTTCTATGAAATAAAATATAATGCTCTTATTCAATATGCTTGTGTAGACACTTAGATTGACAACAATTAGTTTTTGTCTTAATTGCACAGTTTAATTTGTGGAAATCTATAAACAAATGTCCATATGTTTATTTGAAGGAGTACAGTATGTGTGCTTCATAAATCTGTGTTCATCAAAAGTCTCCATAATTTCCGTAAATGTTCTAGTTTTTATTTTTGGCACAGTTTCTGTTCCATGTTGTATTTTGTGTCAGCTTTAACTTATAACTCACACAGTTCATGAAACCCTGTTATTGTTTCAGTTTTGGAGCATAAATACTTTAAATCATAAATCATAAATACTGCAGAAAAGACCTCAAATAAACTTGTGAAAAGTGTAAAGGGTGGGGCTGTATCCAGGAAAAATATAAAGTTGTTTCCCATTCCTGACTGAATTGTGAGCAAAGTCTGAAAGCTGTTTCTTTCCGAGTTTTTACTCACTCATCTGACTCACACGTATGTCATACAGCCCTCACTGCTCACTTTCTAAATGTTTTTCCATGTTTATAGATCTCATAACAATGTTATTTGTTAGAATTGCACCAACACAAGAAGTTTCAACATTTCTCATAAAAAAGAACACCAAATTAATTTGGTTTTCATTAGGTTTAAACACAGGATCATCTGAATCACAACAGACTAGAAAGGCTTTGTCATACGCAAACACAACTGGGTGAAATTCTCCCTACAAGACCTCAAAACAGACTAGGGAATAGTAGGGGAACAGAACGTAGTGAAAGACCATCTATATCTTTGCTGCCTCACTATGCCGGGTTCACACTGCACGATTTTAGCCCGATTTTTCACTCGCCGACAGGTTTTGCAAAATCGCCGACAAATGCCCGAAATCGGAGGCAAATCGGTGCTCGTTCACGCGAGTGACAATCACGCAGTGTGAATGATCAAAGACGCGATCTGAGGGAATCGCCGACACGTAGGCGCAAAAGACCATTCACAATCACGCTGCGTGCAATGATTTCTGACTGAAAACTACATCGGCGATGACCTACAGCCAATGAGAGACCAAGATACAGGGCAAAGGGAAGTTCAGGGAGGAGTTATAGACCAGAATATCAGTATTTTAATAGATATATGAACAATTATATCATACAGAAACAAGCACAAACATTTGCTTGACCAGCCACAATATCAGCTTAACAGTTACTGCAAAATTATTTACCTCCAACTCTCTTTGCAGAACACCCAATCCCTGTTCCCTGCATCTCCCTCCTGCATAATCTGTTTTTCTTTTTCTCCTTGTAGCTGGAAATCAGCTCACAGACAATTTGCGGGCTGTGAACACAGCAGCAACTGAATGCTACCCCTGATAGTCACGCTGTGCGAAAACAACGGCGATCCGACGAGTTTGAAAATTGTGTAGTCACAGTGTGAACTTGGCATCACTGTACAGTCAGTTTATGACTTCACAGGATGTGTATATGAGAACTCCTAAGAACTCTGGTACCATGACATCAATTCTAATGACCTTACCAGAAGGTAGGTGAGCTTTATGCCGAGTTCACACTGCACAATTTTAGCCCGATGTTTCACTCGACGACATGTTTTGCTAAATCTCCGACAAATGCCCGAAATCGGAGGCAAATCGGTGCTTGTTCACGCGAGTGACAATCACGCATTGTGAATTATTAAAAGACGCGATCTGAGGGAATCGCGGACGCCCGCAAAATATTTGGCATGCTAAATATCTGGAGCTGTCGCCGATTCACAATCACGCTGTGTGAAATGATTTCTGTCCTGTCCTGCAGAGTTCAGCTCCAGTCCTAATGAAACACACCTGCAGCAGCTGATCGAGGTCTTTAGGATCACTGGCTTCCAGGCAGGTGTGTTGGATCTGAGCTCTGCAGGACACCGGTCCTCCAGGAGCCGGTCTGGACCCCCACGATCTATGACATCAGCCTGCAGGAGCCCTTCTGGAAACTTCCTTTCTAATGCTGGGTTCACACTGCACGATTTTACCCCTGGTTTTCTCTCGCCGACAGTTTTGTGGAAATCACTGACAAATGCCCAAAATCAAAGGCAAATCGGTGCTAGTAACAATCGCGTAGTGTGTGTGTTATCAAAGACACGATAATAAGACGAGATATTTGGCATGCTGCAGTCTTGTAGTGTGAAATGTGTTTGACTGGAAAGGACATCAGAATAGACCTACAGCCAATGAGAGAGCACGATACAGGGCAAGGGAAAGTTCAGTGGGAGGAGTCGGCGATGACCTACAGCCAATGAGAGAGCACGATACAGGGCAACGGGAAGTTCGGAGAGGAGTTATGTGAAACGTAGTTTGCAGACCAGTGTTGCCAAATCCACGATTGCCACCAGTTGTTTTTTATGTCAGCAGGTTGAAGCGACCCCAATAACCTGATATTTAGGCCCTGGAATGTGAATTGTACCAGGAGAACCCCGCCAAAAAAATTTCTATTTTACCACCGGAACGCGATTTTTACTAGGGGACCCCCTCGAAAGCAATTGGGACATTTTCAGGCTAGTTTTGAGTAGTAATTGGGCGGGTTTTGTAGCGAAAACCTGGCAGCCCTGCACCAGACAGCGCTGTCGGCGATTCTTCCCATTGTAAAGTCATGCAGTGTGTAACCTCCTGTCGTTGTTCCATCGTGAAGTGTGAACACAGCAACAACTGAATGCTACCCCAGATAGTCGTTCAGTGTGAAACCAACAGTGATGCGACGTCTTTGAAAATCGTGCAGTGTGAATTCGGCATTAGTCATAACCAAGCAAATATTTAATAGCTACAATGCTTACTTCTTGGGAGAAACTGAGTCATAATTAATTTACTCCCTTTAATCACTCCCATCAGTCACCATTTGTAATTTTACAACCAACTGCCGTGTGCGTGCACAGGATTGTGGGATAGCATAGACAGTGAAGGATATCTATGCTGCAATGAGATAAAGGCACTTCAAAAAATATAAGATGTTACAGAAACATTGGATTTGTGTCTTGATGCGGACGCAGCCAATGTTTAGTCCAACAGCAATGGGATTTTTCAGTGAATCTTTCTGCAGTTGAAATTGTTATTGAGCCAGTATGGTGACAATGTTGTGAGTGAGTCTCTTAAACGATTACATTTTAAAATAGTACAAATTAAAATAGTACAAAATTACTTTTTAAAATACTAGTAATTACATACAGTCACTTTTTTATTGATTACATGATTACATATTATTCACACACCAGCAATAAATTATTCATAATTTATTGATTCTCCCTAGTTCCCCTTTTTCATCTTTTAATGATCCTTTCTAAAGTAGCCTACTGCTTATATACACTTAGAAAGTCTTCCAGTTGTGTGGACATTCACACGAAGACCAGTCACTGGTCAGGTGGCTATACAGCATTTGACCACTGGATTTACAAAAATCATTTCAGGTTTAAGAAGTGTTTCAACATTGCATCAACTACTGATGAACACATTGATTTTTATTTGAATTATCACTCAGTAGGTTATTTAACCATGTATATAGCTTTGGAAGGCTTCTGTCTTTCAAACACATTAAAATGCACAAATTCACGTTATTTATTATTTACATGTAATGTAGGCATTCCCAAACTTTTTTTGTCATCTGAACCTCTTTTACCTAGGCCTATTTACTTAAAGTACCCCAGAGATTTAAAAATAAATATTTTAATAGTTATCACATTTGCATGTTCAGGGTTCTCTGACGTTGGTTAATGGTCACATGACATGCATGTAAACAAATAAAATATTTAATTTTTTTAGTGTTTTATTTTGACTGATATTATTTTAAAATTGTATTTTAATTTTTTTAATGTTTTAATCATAAGCTTTTCATAGTGCCCCTATTATGCCATTTGACTCTGAACAGCCTAAACGAGTCGTCAGTAATTCAAATCCCACTTCTGTTATGGCTACACATCACAGGGTAATGCCCGCTTATGTTCTTCACTGGCCGGCCGAGAACAAGTTGACCCAATCTCAAACACTGTACCTTGTTCATGTGGTTCACATCATGTCAAGAAGTTTTACGCTGTAAAACTAAATTCGTTTTATTTTCATACCCAAAAGATGAGGCTGCATTAATTATTTTTTTCACTGTACCACAGCAGTACAACCCAAATCTTTTTTTTGTGTTTCCATCACTGAGGACTGCTTCTCTAATCTTCAATGTGGGATTCACAAAACACTTGCTCTTGAAAGATGGCTCAGTACAGTAGTTTATTTGGACCAGCTGGCTCCACTGAATCACAACCTGTAAGTATGAGAAATAACAGATGTTTATATTTTCTATCGAGCGTTTAAAATACAGAACTATTGCAGAGGGTGTATCGTTTTTTGACACGCGCTGTACGCGGTAGACCAATCACAACAGACTGGGCCATCTGACCAATCAGAGCAGAGTCAGTAGCCCCTCACTGCAGAACACAAAATCCAGGGGGCGTGGTTGGATCCACATCTAGGGGGTGGAGATTAGTAGGTTAAGGGTGGAGACGGGTAGGTTTAGGTATATGTAAGGTGGGAGGAGTTGGATCTGGATGCAACCACGCCCCCTGGATCTTGCGTGTTCTGCGAGATTGAGGTCTCTGCAGAGCAAAAGTGAGCGTTTCTGAATTTGTGGGTGTTTTCAAACTGCAGGGTGTTTCTCAATCATGCAATCAAGATGATCCCCCCTTACCTAACCCCACCCCTAAACCTACCGTCACTATGACGTCAGCCAATCAGGAAACATGGTCTAAAAACGCCCTGATCTGGTAACTCTCATTACTTTCCTGCAGAGACCTATACTTGTGTTCTGCAGTGAGGACCATCTCAGCAGAGTAGACTCAAGGAAAGGAGGGGTTTAGAGAGACTGAATCTTAGAACTGCTTTTAACAAATCGTTTGAAAATCGCTGGAAAATGAGGCGATATTAAATGCATATTTTGAGAAAACAAAAGCGTTTTTTAACCTTGCAGGCATGTAAACCTATTGTAGGAGACTCCCAAAACAATATTAGGAACCTTAAAAATGGCATAATAGGGGCACTTTAAACT